CAAGAACTTTGGAAGTCTTGGCATTTTTTACCAAGAAAAAAAATTTTCTTTAATACTTGCAACGTGGCCGAAATGTCACGTAAGACTTTACCTTTTCTTTTGACAAAAAAAATTAATCCACAATTCAAAATTGAAATAAAACGATATGATTAGTCACATCGAGATTTTGTTTTCATTACTAAATTCTCGAAAATTATATTGTTGGTTTTATTGTTGGTCACGTATCTGTTCTTGGGAGTAAGATAGATCCCTTTCAGTAATTAATCTACCCTCAGTAAATTAAGAAATTTACTATGTTATATCGACTTTTGTTGTACCAGATTCGGAAGATGAATTAAGACGTGACAGCTGCGTGACATAATTCCTTTCGGACAATAACGCCAAAAACTTCTCACCGTAGGGGAAAAGCTCGAACGGTTGTTAGCGTTCGGGGGATTAAACCGGAATATCTTCCTGCCTGCGCCAGGCAGAATCGTCAGGGTGTTTGAGGCTGGCGAGCGAAGGCGTCCGATTCGCCGAGGGAGGCAATCCCTCGAACTTTCAAGCGGTTTAGTCTAAATCTTAAACAGCACAAGCACCGGACGGTGTACGGCCTCCGCCTCTGGCGCAGCGAAGGTATGCTAAGAGCTTTATAAAAGTTAAAATTGAAACGGCGAGAGTTTCTCTCCCCGTTTTGGCCCGGTAACACGGGAACGTCGCGTATGAACCTTCCCTTCACGCTCAGCATTATCCCATTGCAATTCAAGCCGCGGCGGAATAAATTGGATATACTGAATGCCAGAGCATTCGCAGCGCTTTGTTTCTCCCCGGCACGCTCCCGTCGTACTTGTATGTGAATAATTCGCGCAATGAAATTAAAGTAAAACGTACGCATCTATCGATATGCGATCGCTAAGAATTAAAAAAGAAATAAATAAACGCAAAGAGTTTAAAATGCAGGGAATTTTTCAAAAATGTGATATCGTCAATATCGTCGGGATTGCTAAATTTAATATGCAAATTCCTAAAAAAATTATTATTACTTTCACCTTTTCGGCGTTTAAACCGCGTAAAAAGATAGTTGGGGTAATTTGAAATACGTGGACAAGTTGAACCATCGCAATATCTAGCCTATCAAGTGTGTTACACCTTAGCGAACAGCAGCGAATTTACTAGCTAGTAACAAATATTTGACATTACAGCTCAGCGAAAACAAAGTTCAGTTATCTTTAATAGTTTTCAAGTTATCTTGAAAAAGACTGAGAGTGTGTGTGGTCCAAATTACCCCAACTTCTTCTACGATCAAATACCAGAAACGTGACAGAAGCTTCAGATTTTGTCTTTTTCGTGGTTTTTACTTATTATATTATATATAAAAGAATTTGACTTATGCAAAAGTTAAAAATTGAAGAAAGGAAACACGCGCGAAGTTGGATGGCGAGAAACAGTGGCAAATCCTGCGAGACACATCGCCGGGGTTCAGGGTTAACGAGTGTGCGACGCGACGACTAGAATAATAAGGACGGTTAATAGAACGGGCGTAACCGCCCCTCGGTGTTTATCTCCAGGGTACAGTAACGTTTCCATTTGGCCCCCGCTATCCGACCGGCGGAGTTTTCGGAGGCAGCTCACGAAACGTTACTCGGCCTTCTGCGGTTGTAGCCTGTCCACGCGAACTGTTCGCGCGGGGAACGGTAGACGCGTCCCGAACTAATTCGGATGGCATCCCTTGTTCGCGGGGACGCGGTAGACGGTCGGTGATCCCGGCGCGTTTAACGCGCTTAATATCCCACGATTTCAGCCTCGCGCCGGGCGGCGTCTCCGGCGATTAACGCATGTCGCTACAATTACTTAGCCCGACGATAACGAACCGCAGAGTTCTCTCGCACATTCCTCCCGGGACGCCGGCGCGCCGCGCCGGTCGCAGGTTTGGTCGATCAAGCATAGTTATATATGATACAGAAACTAACTGCGCAAACGAGGTTTTTGGCCGAAACTGAATTAACTGCGGTTCGCAGTCTAGTTAACAAAAATTTGCATTTGGTCAACGTTCAGCTTGTTCAGCTCGCAATCGCGCGGACTCTAGACGCAATTTAGCCCGATCCTGATCTTCTTAGACCGCCAACTGTGGACTTGGAAATTTTACTTCCATCGAACTCGATGCCTTTTAATTGACTCGAACGTCTGCGGGATCGTGGCACATCGATCGTTCACGCTTCGAGATACTAATCCGATGATACATTGCATCTATACCGATACATTCCGGCACATGTGAGAGTGCAATCGTATTGCGGATTCCGCGCATTGATTACGCCGTTATGTCGTCGCAGGCCGCAAACGCCACGCCACTGAATAACTCCTGAACGCCGTTCTCTGTTTACACCGTCCTAATGATTAATTCATGCGCGTTCACCCCGGATGCGGTCCGCGTTCGTTGAAGGCCCGACTTCTTGCATGTGCGAGTACGAACGACGTGCAACGGAATGACTTCGCTAAATTCATTGAGCGTGCGGTCGCTTAATGGCGGAAACTGGAAGCGAGCGTACCTCTTATCATTTAATCGGGGCCACTCCGCGTTGCGGATGTTTCAACGTTGCAACAAAATTTTGGGATGCGGAAGATATTTCCGTGATATCACTGAGAGATTTGAATCTTTGGTTGGTTAATCGCACACTGTCGCGATTCTTTATACAATACACAATTAATTCTTTACTTGTTCATAAATTTTTTTAATAGAATTATTATAAATATAATACAAGATAATTATATTTTTAGAAAATGTATAAAAAGTAAAACTATTAACCAAAGATTGCTTAAATTATAATTATATTTAATTTATAATTACATGAAACAGCTGGTAAAAAAAGAAAGTTTAAACTGCTTCAATTAAAAATATTACCGGATTAAAGATTTTCACATCATTTACAACAATTAGAGCTCTCTCGCATCCTCTGTTCCTTTCAATCGCAAATTACTACGAATTTTCAGTCATTCCCTGGTGTAACGAGACGAAACTCTAGACGACGTTATTAACGCCCGATCGAGGCAATTTTTCAGTAAGATGAAAAGTGGATCGTCTTCCGATAGTCTTTCCGGGGAAGCGCTGCAAGGAAACGCGCGCGGCGGGAAGTCGTCGTTCGACGGCAACGGCGACGAACTTCTGATCGCGAGATCCGAACGGTAAATTCGATTCCAACTTCGGCCACTTCCATCGAGCGTTAATTGACCGGCGCGGATTTCGAGACGCGGAAAAAGCGATTCGAAATTCGCGCGCGACGACAACGCGGGCGAGCTCCCTCGACGGAGATCTCGTTTAATTTATGAACGCGCAATTAAGTCAGTCGCTTCTTGCGAGGCGAGACGAGGTCATCGAGAGGGCTCACCCGTGCACCCTCTCTCGCGCCTTTCTATCACCCGATCCCATCCCACTCTCTTGTTCTAAAACCACGACGACATCACGCAACTTCCCAGCTCCGGTACACCGCCGCCGCCGTCGCGGGGAGTTCTGCTTTCACTTCGCAAATTACTTCCGAGCCATTTCGCACGCTCGCTATCTTTTCGAATGTCATCGGGATGAGCGGCTGGGAAGAGAGCGAGTATATATCATATTCAAGAATTCGTGCCACGAATAAAGTGCATATGCGCATACGCGACGGCAGTACTCTCGTTCGAGAAGTAGAAACAGTGTAAAATAAAAAACTCACCTCTTTTTAGAAAGACACTGGAGTTTTTAAAAGTTCTGAATTATAAATACGCACGCTTTTAGAATAAATTAAATAAACAAGTAAATATCTAGATTTGTTTTACAGAGATTTATATAAAAAATAAAGCAGATTGAAATAAATAACGCGGATAACATAGGTATAAAATATTTTTGATTATAGCTAAATTTACTTAGATAGATAATTATTAGAGCGCTGACGGTTTATTTTTAAATTTAATATAATTTTAATTAAAAAAAGCTACAACTTTATAATAAATTTTCAATATATTCTAATGTAAATGCCTAGTCAGTTATTATTTCGCAATTAAAATTTTGGGCGATATATAGGTAAATGACTGAATCAATATTCTCATTCCATTAAATTATACGTCGGCAGCAAAATCGAATCCGCGTTTCTAATTCACAGCAAAAAGAGGTTGAGATCGCCGGAAAGTTTTCGAAGAAATGAAAACGTAATCTATTTGGTTCAATCGCTAATAGTAGATTATCGACATAGAAGTTTTAAGTAATTGGACTGATCTGGCATCTTGAAAGAACTTTCCTGTCGAAAAGCCTCGTATAATATATGTCGCTTATCCAGATATCTATTTTATTAACGATCTGTGCTAACGCACCCTTATCCAATTCAAGATTCTCATTATCTGCATAATTCTCTTTCGCATTCATAGTAGCATGTTTTATTTTTAATACTAGACACTACAGACGCGCGCGCTTCGCGCGCGCCATTTAGCTTTAACATTATGCTATTATATAATAATCGCGACACGACGCGGGACGATTAACCTCGCGACACGACGCGAGCTGTCACATCACGACACACACGACGCACTACACGCACGAAACTCGCCACACTCCGCGATGACAGTCCCTCACGGGATGAAGCAAGCTACGGCGCGGCAATCAATCGAGATAGCCATAATCGGCATCGCAGAAAAGAGGCTTCAATTTTACGATACAAACGAAATTCACTCAGGTAACACGCCTTTTTTAAAAGTGGATCGGCTAAAAATTTACATTTGTACGCTATAAATAAACACATCAGTAAAACTAAAATCGATAACTTGTCAAAGTACGACGAAGTATCCGAAATAATCATTCAATTGTTGTAAAAGTCAAGTTTCTAAAAATAAAGATGACTTATATCGATACAGACTTAAAAAATCAGATAAAATCTGCGAAACAATGATTCGTTCAATTGTGTCGCGAAAATCAAGTTTCCAAAAATCTAGAGAAATTTAGGAAAGTTACTTAATTAGCGGCGCAGGCGGTTTGTGGAATAGATTGCGTTTGTACTTACAGATACGAGTCCTCCCGATCCCAGGACACTATCTCCGTCACGACGAAATAGCCGGAGGTAAGGGCGGTGGTAGTCGGCCTGCCGCTGGTTGCATTCGTAACCAGCACAGCGTGTCGCCAATTGCTGCCGTTCTTCTGTTTCTGCGGTAATATCAGAAGGAACGACGTACCGTCCTCGCTGAATATAGGCGCTTCGAATTGCTCTACCCAGCCATTTTTCTCGCCATATGAGAGCGCCTAGGAGCAATCAAACGTTCCTTCGGTCAGCAAATTGTATTCCGTCAATTTAATTAAGTCGTATCGCCGTTCATGAAAAAAAAGGGTCGCTGTTAAAATTCTCTCTTTCGCCGTCGCGTCGATGTGCTGGTATTCTCGAAAGATAATGTTGTACTTCTCGCAAAGATCCACGAGCCAAAGTTCAACAAGCGTATTAATAAAGTGATCCGGTAAAAAGAAACTCGTTCGCTTTTCTCCTTTTAACGGATACAAAAAATGCACGAGTAGTCAAACATCGTATAATTACGGCTTCTTGGAGCCGTTTTTACTTTCTTTGTACAGACATTTTAACGCGGCAGCTAATTCGCACGTTCAATGTAAAAAAAAAAAGAGAAAAACATTGTTTCACGGGAGAATTATTTCTCGCAATACGAAGTTAATTTCACGCTTCTTAACGCGAGATTAAATTTATCGCAGAATTTTCTAACACGAAATCTTTACCGATACTTGAAATTTGTAACGCCCAAGTTCCTCGAGAAACAGTCGCGAAAGACTCGTACGAAACTGCGAATTAGCCGAGCCGCGGACGAGCGCGCGCACTAATTAAAATACTATTGCCCAACTAAAGGAAGAGCGCTCGCCTAAATTAAGATTCGCGAAAGCTCGGGAAAAGAGAACGCGGGCTGCAGAGGGAGAGATAGAGAGAGAAGTCTTCGTAATGGGTATTATACTATCAAACGAGTCCCTCCCCCTCTCTCGCTCGGACCTCGCGCAGTATCCGGAAGATTGTCTCTCTCTTTCTCTCTCGCGCGCGCGTGCGAAAATGAAGAAATACTTACTATCGTGCAATTTGGCAGCAGACTGTCGACGTCGCAGAGCTGGAAATACGCCCTATTCTGCACCCGGTTCATCCAGGTCGCGTATACGAGGCTGTCCGTGGGGAAGTCCACTGCCGACAGAATCCTCTCGGAAGTAGACAGCTCCGGCGGATGTTCGATCTCAACCAGAGTCACGTTACCCTGCACCACCATATCGAGATCGACGCAAAATAGTTTGACTGTTGGATTCGTCGTGCCGCTCTGGAACGGGAATAAGACGGATCTCTCGTGAAGATGGATCGACGTCGAATGGCAAAGTAGCAAGGGTAATGGACGGAGAAAAGTGCGCGTGTAACGATAAAGAAAAGTGTACGGTCCAATCGATCCGCTAAGTGGGACAGATGGACCGCGCAAAAATATTATTTGTATATAAAACACATTTCTATATTCGGTATAAAGGATAGAATTTTTCATCAATTAAGAAGTTAATTTTGTTTTAGCTGCAAGAACAACTTTGGACGTAAAAGATTATAGAGCTATAGTTTCGCAGGGAAACGTAAAGATAATCAGGTGTATATTTACAAGAAGCGCAATTTTCTTACGAAATGCGTGAAGTTGTTGTTTGCAAAGTTGTTTGCGTGAAAGTGTTTCAATGAAATTGGAAACATAAATCTTCGATTCTCCTGTCTGCCGTGGCTGTTCATTCACTGATTACTTTAAGTGCATCTGAAAATCCTGTCTTTTTAATACCGAAAGTTTTAATGACAATCTTGTTTAATCCCCAAGATACGGAGCGCTGTAATTGTTGCTCGCGCAGTGTTTATTCGTTTGTTCGACTCGGCGATATTCCACTAATATTAATTTACCGACGTATATATAGAGCGGCTTCCTCGCTTCATCAAAAAGTAACACGACGCTTTGGCTGTTTGCGCGCAGCTTAAGGATGACTCTTGATTACGTTTTAGTAAATTCAAGAAATTTCTCGTTTTCCATCCTAACTTTCTTGCGAGACAGTAGTAAGCGACGTTAATCACGTGAAAGACGTGAAAACTTCATTATTTGATAAGCGTTCTTTCTCTTTGGTAACGAAGCGAACTTAATATAATTAAATTTTCAGAATAAAGTTTTGTAAAAAATTCTAATTGAGTTATGTATACACGAGTTACGTAAATTGCATTGTGCAAGTTGCTTTCATATTCCGTTTCACGCATGTAATTCTCATTGAATGGTTAATTACACGCGAATTTTCCATTGATATCAGTCCACTTTTACGAACTATACATGATTTAGTAAACTAAGCAAATTTACAATTTTATTGTCTATTATGTAGCAATTAAAAGGGAATTCATAACGTCATTTCGATAAAATGCCGAATTTTTGAAAGCGATGCAAACGCATATTCCTCGCACTTAATGCTTTTGTCGATAATATAGTGGCATTTTCCAAACGGCGAATTTGTGTCGCGAGCTATTTCGATTCAGCAGTAACAACCTATTTTCGAATCATAAAATAAAATTATTCGAATCGCTCGGTCATATATTTGCATTTTATTATAATTTCAGGGGAATTTGACATTTTCGCGCAAATGTAAATATTTATAGAACAAACTCGTCTTTTTGCGATATATTTCCTCTTTGGCTGTGAAATGAATATTAATGACAATTTTATTTGCCGCGGTCACATCGCGAATAAAGCGAAATCGACGGAACTTAGGTAAATAAAATTCACTGCATTTTTGTTAAAATATGTCTCGTTTAAAGCGCGAGCTTCGAAGCACAATGAAGTCGCGAGAAAGAAATCCAGATAAATGTACCCGGGAAAATGACGGGAATGGCGGTTTGCGCGTCAAGCAAAATGAATCACCCGGCTGACGAGACCGTGACTCTAATCCAAGCAAGGCTGGAAGTTTATGTAGAATCGCGCATCTTTAAAAGGTGGCACTTTGGAGTAAAACTTCATGTCAAACTTCGAATTCAATCGCGCGTCTCCGAGAGGGAAATCGATTTGCCGTGAACTTTATTCGAGTGTAAGCGAATGGCAAAAATACCGGGGGCGCATTTGTCATGGAGACCGTACGGTCTCCATTTCGTCTCCGTTCAACCCGCCCATTATGTGGACAGTGTATCAGAGAAATAATATAATTACCGACGCAATCTCCTTTCAGAGATAAGTCTAAGCGAGATTCTTATTATTTTTTGTCGCGTAAAATCGTTATGAAGGCATTGTGAAAGCCTCTTTCAATTTTAATGTCCTAAAAATTTTTAAATAGTTAAAATATGTATGGTTAACTCTAGTTCGCCACACTCCGGTCTAGTGGACTACGTCTATTAAGCTGACACAGCCAATTCAGCACAATCGAATAAAATTTATACAGAAATTTAGTGCTCTTTTGTTGCTAATTTGTTGCTCAATTTCCAATTTTGTTGCTCCAGCCGTTTCGGAGAAAATAGTGGCTGTGCTAACTTATGTTTAAAGTTAGCACAGCCATTCAAAAAATTGTGTTAAATAAAAAAATAGGACATAATCTTTTAATGCTTTTTTGTTGCTAATTTGTTGCTCCATTCCCGATTTTGTAATTTTATTTTTAAATACTGGAAACTACCCCCAAAGCTATTTCTCCTTAAAAACATACTCTAAAATTGCAAATTAATCAGATATTAATTAATTATGTTCAAGATTAGTTAATTACGTTTTACTGATTTTATTGCCAACCACTTGCATTAATTCCGATTTTGTTGCTCCACCCTTAATGCTTAAAAACCACCCTTAGCTTATCCTACAGCAGCACAACACCTTAAAATTGTAAATTAAACAAATTTCCGAATTGATTATGCATCCTTGATTTTGTTGCTCGCTATTTTTAACAAATCCGATTTTGTTGCTCTACCCTTAATGCTTAAAAACCACCTTTAGCATATCCTACACCAGCACAACACCTTAAAATAGTAAATTAAATAGATTTCCGAATTGATTATGTATCCCTGATTTTGTTGCTCGCTATTTTTAACAAATCCGATTTTGTTGCTCCACCCATAATACTTAAAAACCACCCTTAGCTTATCCTACAATTTACAATTGTACAGTACAATTTACAATTGTACAATTTTAAGGCGTTGTGCTGGTGTAGGATAAGCTAAAGGTGCTTTTCAAGCATTAAGAGTGGAGCAACAAAATCAAATTTGTTAAAAATAGCGAGCAACAAAATCAAGGATGCAACATAATCAATTCGGAAATCTGTTTAACTTACAATTTTAAGGCGTTGTGCTGGTGTAGGATAAGCTAAGGGTGGTTTTTAAGCATTAAGGGTGGAGCAACAAAATCGAATTTGTTAAAAATAGCGAGCAACAAAACTAAGGATTTTTCAAGTTTTCTAGTTTTCATATAATAACATCACTTTCTTAACCTGATATTATCATAAACATCTCATTCAGACTTTGTATTTACAATTCCTACATTACAAGTTTAAAAATATTAATTAAAATGAAAATCACACACAAAGCGACAAAGTCGCACGGTCTCATAAACAAATAATTGTAGCTATTATAGCTAGGGTTAATAAATCTATGATTATTTTTACGGTATATTAAATAAATAGCATAATTAATACTCTTTTCATGTTAATGACTTCTGATGTTCCTGGCAAAAAAACATTAAATGTATAAAGAATAATATAGCTTTGTTAATAAGTAAGTATAATATTTAAATATACAAATGAAAACCTTATAATGGTCGCACAGTTAAATTCGTAGTGTCAAATTGTACTCCATTTAAGTAATTTTTAACCATTGTATAAGTCGCCACTGCTCCTACTCAATATGTCGTTAATTTAACTAAAACAATAGAGTTAAAATAATACTGTTTTGTGTTAAAATAATAAATTTCGACACACGTGATGATTAAAAATAACAAAATGTTATTTAACTCAAGGTATCTATTGGTTTAAATTTTATCCTTTAATATTTAACAGTGCGGTATTAAATGTCATTCCTGAGACTTATTCGTCTCTACTCCTTATTCCTGTATCCAAGCAAACTTTCATCTTACGGATTGTCGTACGAAGACAAAGATGTCATTCAAAGGTTGAACCAACGTCGGATATTTTTCCACGTCTTTCGCGTCACGACTTTTTGCGACGGTGTCAATCGCGAGTCATAAAAAGACATTGAAAAATGTAAAGATGCCACACTCGCGCTCTTCTCATCTTTTCAGGATGTAAACTCCGGTTTGATGGCTTTTCATATCTCGGACGGCGCGGTGCGACACGAAGCTTCGCGGGGATGCAAAGTGGGAAAGACGCTTCTGAGAGCGTCTAACGCCCGGAATCGCTGCCTTTTAAAGAACCGTTTTGTTTTTTTCCCCACGAAAAATTTCATTTTCCCTGTATGCGCAAACGCCTTTTCACACAGGTAGACAATCAATTAAAATGGCGGATATTAAAAACGCAAAATATACCAGAAACGTATCACGCATGAAACTTTCACACGCAGAAAATATATAAAACCTATTTATTATTTATTCGCGGACGCAAAAATATCTATATTAAAATTTTCAAATGTATTTGAAATTTATATAAAATCTTCAAGCTACATATCATTTTTTAATTTAACGAATAATTTTTCGATAAGAATATGATAATGAACAAAGATAAATTAAAAGTCGACGAATTAAAAATATGGCAATGCCAGAGAAAACATTTCTTTATCGTACGTAAGCGGAATAAGGTTCATGATGTACTTACTTTAGGGTAGTGAATCGGTATCGCCGACGTGTATTGGAAGGTTAAGCTTCCGGGATATCCGTAAAATGGTATGGTCATAATAGGAGTGCTCGAGTCGTCGAAATAGCCGAAAACCAATTTAGTGCCGCTGGGAGAAAACCAGATCGCCTTGTTCGAGCTGAATACTTCCTCTGTAACGCAACAAAAGTATAAAAAGTTAGTTAATATATTATTAAATTCATATTTCCTTATATATATTTATAAGAAGAAATACTTAAAGCAAGATATACGATATACAGTGCTGGTCAAAATTTATTATATATGGAAAGAGAAGTTGTTACTTTAATGAAGAAAGACGTAAATATTATAAATATTATAAATATTATACAATTTTATTTTAGCACTGTTATTTTATGCTTTGATAGAAATACTTCGAGAAAAAAAAACAAAGATCTTAATGATTTAATTAAATAATTATTATTAACAATAATTATTCAACGTCAATTAAATCATTGAGATCAAAGCATAAAATAACAGTATCTAAAATAAAATTTTACGACATTTATATACATTTATACATATCTCTTTATTAAAGACTTCCCTTTCTATAAGCGATGCAATACTTTTGATCGGTACTGTATATGCAATTCAATTCTACAATTTCTTTCATAAATTTGAAGTCATTATGCTGCTGCAGATATGTGAACATAGACTGTGTAATAAGTTTATTAGCATCATTATTGGATGAACGGAATGTGAATTTACGAAAGAGAACGCGCTTTTTATTTCATCTTAAACCCGCACTGCAGTCACGAAGTACATTCTCGATGCACTGACGTGCACTAAATAAAGTGCAGAGAGACTCGTAATAACCCTCCAGTTTTGCCTCTCGCGTCTCTTGCGCTTTAGCGCAAGTGAAGTCTCTCGGCGATAAAAACTTGACGAAGAAAATTATTATGGATGTTATGCGTGTATCTTGTCGACTTTACGGTACCGTCGTATTTTTCTGCCGGCTGCCGTTGGACCCCGTGACATCTTTGCGCTAACGACGAAGCGAGAAATTGCGACGATCGTTCTCGTCCTCGTAAAAACTCACAAGCAAAATTCATCGCGCGGGGCGTTATACCCGGTATAATTATAGAGTGCACTGAGCGTGTAGAACGTATCTCGACTCCGGCTCTCTCGTCCCTTTTTGTATTTTGCTAAATAAAGCATGAACGAGAGAGGGTGAGGAAGGTACTTCTGTCTGATATTGGCACCCTTGCTCCATTTTTCTCCATCGTCGCATAATTATCACCCCATCAGGAACTTGTGTGTACGTGTTAACTTTAAGACTGACGCACGCACGGAGTACACGAATTACAATGCGAGATAAAACGGCCAATAAGAAATGAAAATAATAACAACGAAAGCCTTAATTATCATTTCCATCATATATTTCCATCATATATTTTTATACAATTATAAAAGATAAAATTATATGTAACGTAAAAAATTACATAAAATATAAAGAGTATAAAATGTAAAATTACAATTAAAATATAAAATGCAATCTTCAATATCTTCTTTCATTTAATTCTACTTAGTACATAATTTTACCACTTATTGAAAGGTAATCTAAAAGTTATTATATATAATAACCCTTTATAATAACCCTTGTTATATGTGTCTTTGTTTATAATGCCTTAAACTGCCTTAAAGTACAATCTTCCCTTTATCGAGTTTCAGAAAGTAGGTTCCCAGAACTATCGTCGCTCCAATATTAATTTTACGATAAGTACTCGATTAAAGAGCTCGCAGCGCGTCAAAGCATAATTCCGCGCAATGAGGAAGCAAGAAGTAATCAAGATTCTCTCTCTTTGTAAACTTCACAAGGAAAGAAAGTTCAGGCTGATCTACCGGCGCATTGCGTAATTATAAAGCTCCACCAAACAAGCGGATATATACTTCCGCTATCCCATTATTGCAGAATAAATAAAGCGTACGCGAGCAGTAGACTCGATTAAATTTCAGTATTTCAATGCGTTTACCTCTCGCGAATTATACTTGTAATAAAATGAAACAAGTTCTTGATACACAAAAGTAGAAGGACTGTAAACTGACCGTAAACCACGAAATTTTTGTCATTTTCATTAACGTATAGCATCAAGGAACTTTCATTACTTTTTTAATTTACGAATTTAATTTACTTTACCAATAATCTAACTTTTATCTCCTTTGTACGCGAACAAAACTGGCTTAGCTCACACAATTCGGTTCATACAAAAAATAAAGTTTACTTAAATTGCGCCTGAATTTGCGTTAAATCATATCGAATTCATAAATTCATCCTAATGTAAATTTCCACATGTAAATTTCGGGGGACGTTAAAACGCCGATTTTTCTCAAATTTTTTACAGTTGTTTCAAAATATGAAAAAATTTGTCATTACTTTTAACTCAAATTAATTTTTTTATTTTTTTTTAATTTTTTAAATTTTACACAAGTACACGACTTTAAAGCAGTATTTCATAAACATAAATGTACCTGAATTTTTGTAACTCGGTACATATAGAACATCAAAATAATAGTTTAACTGTTTTTTTCCTATTGGGCATTAAGAAGTTTTAAGGGTTATAGTAACTACCCTTTGAATTCTTCTTTACTTTCACATAAGTGGTTCTGTAAAGAAAAATTGATGAAAAAAATATATAATGTGCAGATTTCAGGGTCTTGATTATAAATCAGAGATTTATTTTGCAAAATTCAATACTTGTGTAAAATTTAAAAAATTAAAAAAAAAAATAAAAAATTAATATGAGTTAAAGTAATTTTTTCATACTTTGATATAAGAAACAACTGTAAAAAATTTGAGAAAAAACGGTGTCTGATGTTACTCGAGGTTTACTTGTAAGGGATAAGAACATCACAAGAAACTATCGAGATTTGATACACACTTCGCAATTAAACTTGTATTTTATGCAGTTTTCTTTAGCGATAATACAAACAACAAAACGATTGACATCGATTCCAATTCAATGAACCCCGAGAGAAGCATCTATATTACGAATTTCCTTTTATCCGTCAGTTTCGATGAACAAAGTGCATACACACGGAAAGGATCTCCTAATTAACCGATGCCATCTTTTTTCTGCACATTCCCCCGACGAAGGGAAACCGCGCCGCCGATGGTTCGAGGGAAAATCGCTGATGTAATAAGCGAGTTCATAGAGCGTGCAGTAACGTCGGAAAGGAGCCGGACGAGCTGCGAAGGAACCAAGCGGAAGCTCTTTATTTCGTTTCCTTTCGAAAGGAGAAGGGGGGGGGTTGGCTCGCGGACGCAGTAGGACATAAATATCCAGTTTGCAAGCCGCGAGGGTGTTACCGTATAAGAATAAAAAAGAACAAACAGGGAAGGGAAAGAAGGTGGAATTAACCCCATGATGCGTGTCCTCGAAATGAAGGTTTATAAAAGGTAAAAAAAAATTATCGCGAGATATTTAATTCAGATAAATTGCAGAAAATTCGTGGCAATCTGGGGACTACTGGAGGACAAAATTTCATTAAAATTACAGAGAGGATCGTAAAGAAGAGAATAATTATTACAAAATCTAAAAGACTCTTTCTCTCTCTTCTATATATTTCAAAATTGATTAATTTCTCGATAAGCAATATAGATTCATAAAATCATAAATATGAGCAATAAAGTTGTTCCTCGGGAAAATGATTGAAGATATGGGCTCGGTACCTGAAACTTTAGATTTCGGTCCTTGAAAGTTCCATAGTTAAGGCCTCGCGCTATAAATCCGCTTCCGAGAAATCGAGTCAGAAAAATGAGAGAAGATAGCATATTTGGAGAACGTCTGCGGAGAACCTTAGAGATACTCCCGCTGAATTCAGCTTGCGATGTTGCAAGACAGAAACGAGACATGAGAAGAGGGGCGGTAAAAAAGCTCTGTCGCTGGCAAACCCGAAGGAGCAGAAGGCAACAAAGGGAAGAACCGAGTAGTGAAGAGAATGGGGAAAACAGATCGCGCGGGGCGAAGCGGCGGAGGGCGTGGAGAGGGGGGGAGAAAAAAGAAGAAACGCCGCGGCGAGGAAGGAAAACTGCACAAAGACGCGATGCTGCGTTGCGCAGCTCGCTGGACGTGACGAGGGAGAGAAATATCCCGAGGGTGAAATTCCGGATGGACGGGTACGTGTGTACGGGTATGCGTCTATACCGTGTCACGTACGTATGTGTGTGCGTGTATCGAAGACTATACGACAACGGGGCCGGGGGATAAAGACGGGCTGGATCTGAATGGCACGCGAGGAAAAACGCGGCGTTGCGCGCGCGCACCAAGAAAGTTTTGTCGAGCGACTGATAGATCCGGTTTGGCCAGCCGGCCAATTACTCACGTCCGCCAGTATCTATTCGGGGAATAAACTTTTTATGGCTTCTCCCGTGCGATTTTATTGAGCCGCGCGACGACGTTAATGCGACGCATGTAAGCTCGAATAATTCTCCCGATGGGCGATTTTCACCATTTTATTTTATGAGGGTGAGATCGTGAATGGCAAAAGAATTAAATAAAAATGCACTCGGTCACATTTAGATTCCTCAATATCCGTCTGTTCGCTGCATATCGATTTGCCAATATAGTGATCACAGCCGATAAACACACAGGTTTGCGCAAACGTCACGCCTCACAAATATTATATTTTGGAAAGTGAGAAAAAAGAGCGGAACACTTTATCTTTCTCTAATCTAAATATTTGATACGTATGTATACCGGGTGAGAAAAAAATCTGGAACCGGTTAAATATCTAAAAAACAAGACATTTTAGGAAAAAATGTTTCATACATAAGTTGTATGGCTTCAACAAATATATCAAACGGTGGTACTTATTTGATCTTGAGCGTAAGTATAGAGGAGCTTTCAAGGTCAACTTTAAAATTTTAGAAAGAAACCGCCAGTTTTTATTTAATATTCTTGTAGCTGACATTGAGAGCTTTTTAAAACACTATCAATAAACTTCTTTCGGTTGAGTACTTTTTGAGATATGTTGACAAAGTTCAAGTACCGCTGGCATTAGCATTAGCCAAGGTGTACCGCGTGGAGGTTGCACGAACGGATTTACATCTTATTGTGTGTGTGTGTGTATACACTTTAGCTAATGCTAATCCCGGCGGTACTTGAACTTTGTCAACTCATATCTCAAAAAGTAT